TTCACTTGACTGTGAAGGTATGTGTAGAGGCCCAAGGCTGATACTGGAATGGCTTCCTTAATTGCTTCCCCATCTAATTTTTTGAGGCAGGGTCTCTGAACCTAGAACTCACTGTGTTGGATAGACTGACTCATTAGTGAGAATCTTTCTGCCTCAGCCCACCAGCGCTGGGTTTACAGACAGACATTGCCACACTTGGCTTTTATGTGGGTGTTAGAGATCTAAACTCATGTCCTCATGTTTTCCTAGCAAGCACTTTATCCACTGACCTGTGGGAGACAGGCTTGAGCCTAGGGTGATAGTGCAACTGTCAGGGTCACATGGTTTCCAGGAATCCAGGCTCTGTAATATGAAACCCAGTATGCTAATGAGGCATCCTACCCTCTATTCTGTGATAGGATGTTAAGTCTGTTATGCTAATAGGATGATGCTAATAAGATACCCTACTTGCTGTCCTTTGATTGGACGACCAACCCTATATAAGCTTGTACCTTCCTGCAATAAAGCAGACCTGTGTCACTGAACCTGGTCTCCTGTGTCTGAATGCAGCTCTGCTGACACAGTCTCTTCACCAGCCCTGGGGTCGGGTACTGGGCAGAAGCAGCGATGACAGGAGGCAGAACAGGGCAAGCAGAAGAGTGGCCTCAGCCCAGGGCAAGCAGAGGCGCAGCCTCATGGGAGTTTCCCTGCTCTCTGCTTCTGTGGTCTGAGTTGACAGGCTATGCTTCCCTGATTAATTGGCAGTCTTGGAAACATAACTAAAGAGTTCTGTTTCAGTTTATGGGCACTGGAGTTTCTCAGCACCATTAGCTTGGTTTCTATATAGAAATAATGAATTATAGTAGTTGCTAAGAGTAATCACAAACAGTACATCTTATATCTAAGATATTATGAATATTATGTAGCTGAATCTTGGATACTGTAAACGTCATGTGAGTTTTGGTTGGTGAAGTAATGTATCTTGATAGTAACGTAATGTATCCTTAGTTATTCCTTGGTTACTCCAGATCTGATTCCTATATAAGCTTGCTTTAGTTCATAATAAACATGCACTGGCACATAGATCTCTGCATCTCCTGTGTCTTGATTTCTGTCCTTTGGGGTCCCCAAGCCCTTCAGGCTTGGATTGTGGTCACTGCACCATGACAGTTCAAGGTTCTCCCAGAGTCACAGAGACAGTAAGATGGTTGTATACATCAGGAGAACTAAGGCAATATGAAATTTCATGGAGCAGACCATAGGAATGACCAGTTGCTGGCACTTCCATCCAAAGACAGACTGTTGTCTTCAGGGAAATCTCAGTCATTTCTGTTCTTGAAAGCATCATACTGATTGGGTCAGGCCCATTATGGTAAATAATCTCCTTTACATGAAGTCAACTGATTGCAAATATCAAACATCTCAGAGATATTTGGAACAGCAAATGTTTCCATTCCTTGGGACTATACCCTTGCCAAGTTGACCCATTCAGTTAATCCTCAGGTATTTAAAAACCACAGTGAGTTTAGAAACAAAGGGAGATAAGCAAGTGGAGACAGCAACTAAAGACAGATTTTGGGGAAAAATCACTGTATGGAAAGGAGGGGTAAAGAGAAGAGGAGGAGGCTGCTAAACACGGCCCTGCAGTCTTTAGTTACTGAGGTTTGTTTGGTGGTATATACAGCAATGTTGTGTGTTATCAGAATAGTCTAAGAGCAAAAAATTGGCAGTAATGCTAAAAGGACAGACCATCACAGTGAGAGTTTTTATACTGGGAGACTGATGTGTGGACTCATGAAACGCCAGAGTACCAGCTGCAGGTCTCTCACAAGGAAGCTGTGTTTCTCCAACAGCTCCCAAAGGTGGTTATCTCCCCATCGCTGGCTGGTTTTACCTGAGGTGCTATATCTCCTTAGAGAATTTTCCAGATATGAAAACTTGCATGGAGAGAAGCATGTCTGAGCTCCCTCAACATCAAGAATATCTCAACTTGGATCAGACCTGGGCTCTAGCAGATCTGTGGATATCGTACTACAAAATAGTGTTTTGTGATTTACATGTTTTGTGAGACTATGCCTTGGTGCCATAATTCCCAAGAGTTCATCACTGGATAATGGTAAAACCATGCTCAAAGATTCCTTTCAACATGACAGCCTGTGGGTTGGGGAGATGGCTCAGCTAGCTGAGTACTTTCTGTGTAAGCGTGAGGACCTAAGTTTGATCCCGAGATCACATGCAAAATATCATGTGTACACTTGTAATCCCAAGCTGGAGAGTAGGAAACAGGCAGATCCCCTAGGCTCACTTGACAGACAGCCTAGCCTGTTTGGTGAGTCCCAGAACAGTGAGGGACCTTGTGTCAAAAAGTAAAAATTTCCAAGGCCCTTGAAGAAAGACAATGTTGACTTCTGGCCTCCACATGAATGTCCCCAACACATGCACACCTGTACACACACACCAATGACAGCTGTGATCCATCCTTCTGGTAAGTATATAGGGTGTTTGAATAGAGGGTATAAAAAATGAGAAGTGACCATCTGTGAGAAAACTAAAGTATGGCGACACATGAGAAAGTAATAGCAACTGTTAGACTATGGCTGGTGGGATGGCTCAGCTTGCTGACAAGTCTGGTGACCTGAGTTCAATGCCTGAGAATCAATATCCACAATTCCCTTGATACCCACATTAGTGCCATGGCATACACACACACACACACATACACACACACACACACACACACACACAGAGAGAAACACAAGCTTTTGGTGAGAGAGAGAGTAAAATGTAACTAAAATTATTAGACTGAAATAGATGGCTGTACAAATGAAATAAATAAACTTTTTGAGTGTTTTTGCATCCTGAAGTTTATCACATTTAAAACAAATAAGCTGGTAAACAACAGCAACAACAACAAAAAACAATAGCAGTCACAAGAAACTGCCCACCCAGCAGTGGCAAATTGCCCTTATTAAGAAATGAGGTACACAGAGAACATGGTGGCCTCAGCTACTTAAGGTAGTAAAAAGTACTTCTTGGACAGGCTGTTGATATTTCTCTTATAAATCATACTCTTTGTGAAGGAGCTTGTTCAAGATAAATACAGTCATTTTTCCAGTAAATCTCCTCCTTGTAAGACTTCATTTCTGTAACACATACACTCTAGCCCATGTTTATCTGAAGAGCTGTTAACATTTGCTGTTTGTATTTTCATCCTCAGAAATCTCAATTCAGTGTGTGTAGTAGGTGAAGGGTAGGCAAATACATTTTTGTGAAGCACTTAAAATGACTCTTAGGCAAGTGTTTATTTTGATCTCATTTTAATAAACAGCACAAGCAGTTCACACATGAGGCACTTCTGTGACACAAACCAGTAACCCTTTGAACCCTGGATGGTAGTTAGTTTTAATTGTCAACTCAACAGAATGGAGTCACGTGGGAAGGGAGTCTGTCTTAGGGATTGTCTTGAACAGGTTGGCCTGTGGCTCTGTCTGTATGGGAATGTCGTGATTAATGGGGAGATCTACCCACTGTGGTGGCACCACTCCCTGGACAGGGTACCCAAGATTATAGAATTGTGGCAAAAAGAAAATGAGCACTAGCATGCATGCATTTATTCACTGCTCCCCGCTCTTGACTGTGCATATGATGTGACCAGCTGCTTCCAGCTTCTGCTGCCTTGACTTCTCAGCAATGACAAGCTGTAATTTGAAATTGTGAATTAAATAAACTTCTTCAATCTTAAGTTTCATTGTCAGGGTTTTTTTATCAAATCAATAGGAAATAAAAGACAACTATGTTAAAAATAACCGTATATATTGAATATGTTCACTAATTGGGGAAAGTCATTGGATATTGTTACAAACAAGTGGATGAATGTCATAGCTTAAAGCAGAACAATGTATTGTGACATAATTCAAGTGTTTAGCATACTGCCTACTGAGGAGAAAATAGGAATAATAGTCTCACCTATGTAACTCTCAGCTTCTGAAGCTATGACCTGTTCTACCCATGCATACAATCTCACTTATGCTCGAAATGGAGCCCTGCTTTTAAATGCAGCATGAACAACTCCAAGACCAACAAACGGATACCATGACTGCAGAAGATAAGTGCCTGGGATACACTGATAGACATTTTTCTTTTCTTCTGGAACAAGTGGAGGAGACTATATGCCTTTCCTGGTTCTTTCCTGGGGGAGGCTCTTTATAACTCACATCATTTCTGAAGAAAAGTTGAGCTTAGCTGTTTTTTATTGTAAATGTAAAATGGTTACTTAAACCTCAAGACCTAAGAGCTCTTAGCTTTAAACTTTTTTTTTG